GTTTGAAATCGTTGGCTTGAAGAAAAACTATGAAATCAATAACTTATGTTTGATTTTAATATTGTTTGAAATTTTAGGGTACAAAGTTTTTGTTAAGAGCAAAGGGAGATAGCACAATTATATACCAAATATAATATGTAAAATAAATATGATACAATATAATCCCATTGAAAGATAAACAATCAAGTTTAAAATTTAATATTTGTTGTAAAATCAACTGGTAAAGTCCCGCGACTATATCTCAAATCAAGGCATTGCATCAATCATATGAATTATCATTAGTATCACCACACACATATACTAAACCTTGAAGCCTACCTTTGTTGGCTACTTCAAAAGCTCCCATTTTCCTATGTGCATGAAATCAAGAATAGTCCACCTTTCAAATGTTTGATAGATCTCTTGCTCCAAATCATGCTTGAGTGTTTTTGGAAAGCTTCAATATCCATTTTAAATCTATTGGTCGACCCTCCAAAATATCAAGCACATTCCACCTTCAATATCTTTTTTAACCAAATTATGACATTTATTACTTATTTTAATTAATTTCTTTTGATTATGTGATTTCCTTTATTGATTGGACATTTCACAAATCCATGGAACTTATTATAAGTGGCCCCAAATTATTGTTAAATCAAGGCTTGGTCGACCACCATAGGAGACATTGAAGAAAGTCTATAAATAGTGCACCTATATAACAAGATTTTCATATTAAAATAAAATTATTTTGCTTGTGCAAACATGAAGGAAAAACTTATTGGCTACTCTACAACATTGGTGAAGCTTGATGAATAATCCCCTTGGAATTTGATGACTCCTTATTTATCTTTGATACTTAATTCCCCATCTCTATTCCTTCATTTCTCCCCTTCCCCCATGCATATGCTTCCTCCTAATAATTCTCATAACTTCTCTAAAAGATCTAAAATTCATTCCTCACATCACTTATAACACCCACAAGCCCCCAAAACCTTCCTCTTCTTAAATCCAAGCTATTGCATAAACCCTAGCAATTAACCCTTCTTGGGTTCTTCACCAAAACCCCTCTCCATCAACCCACAACACTACACTCCTTAACTTCCTATTTCCCTAAGGTCATCTAGAAATCAATACCATCTTCCCACTACAAGTCCTCACCACTATAAGCCTTTTGCAATTACTTAAACCACTTAGTTTTATATAAAGCCTGAAACTAGACATTTCCCAAAAACATTCAATAATTTCTTCACTCTCCAAAGATGCATCAAGCAAGCTATAGCTTTCATCATCAAAAACCATTTGGCACCTCCATTATATTGGTATCAAAGCTAAGTGCTCCATGGAGTACAATACTCAAAAAGCTTGAAGGCATAATTTGGAAAGGCAACTACTTTGTTGGCCTCTTAAAGCAACAACTTCCAAAAGCATACTGTCCACTGTAGATCTCTTCTAGTTCATAAAAGATTAGTCTTGATATTCCCATCAGCTTTTTCTTTCTTCAGTTTGTTAGCTTATTCAAATACAACAATAAAAATTTGAAAATTTTGTTGCCACTTAATAATTCTATAAAATACTACAAAACATTCAAGTAGAAATATCACAAAATAAACCAAACATTCGCACAAGTGTTAACCTACTATACACAATTGATACAAAAAATTTCCTTATTTATAAGAGTTTGTTTCATTTAATAAAATTGGCCTTAACCTGAATGTGCTTCAGGCATAGAAATTGAAAATATATTTCCTTTATTGCTCTAGTTTATAATTATTAATATTACTTATGAAGAAGTGGTTTATAGATTGCTTGAGGTACATGTAGGGGAAGCTCTTCAAATTCGATATAGTCGATCAGATCAATATGTCTAACTCCACCTCCATAATTGGGAGAAGAGTTTAGAGGAATAAAAATAGGAAGTTGCATTAGTAGGCAATGGAGGTTCTAATGCCAACTACTCTAGGCCATTCAACTTAGTAAATGACCTTCCATCCTTCCAAGGAAGTAGATTTGCCCCACTCATTAAGAGTGGTAATATTGAGGATATCACTTGTCTACCGACAATCCCTTCTCCAACCACAAAATTTTTTTAAAAAGTAGTAAAAAAAATTACAGTCAAATATAGTCGTACCAATTTTTTGAACAAAATGGCTAAAAATAGCTACCTCAAAGGAAACATAAATGTTTGATTGAGCATGTGGTTTAACTTAAAGGCCTAAAAATGATGACATAAATGAAAATGAAATATATTTAATTTATAAGTATCAAAAATATAATTTTAATATCACAGAATTATTTCATAATTTTTTTATATTTTGTTTAGCTTAACTTCCTAATTATTTGATTTTTTTACCAATTAAATGTTGTGTTAATTACATTATTAATTATATAATTAATGATCATGACCTAAATTTACATATTGTAACTATCTTAATTACCCATATATTTAGCAAATTTATGTAACCATAAGCTTCCTATTAAATGTATGAATTTTGTTAGCTTTTATTTATTTATTTATTTATTATTATTTTTCGATAGGATTTGAGTTGCTTCATGTTTTCAAATTCTAAGTACTCACACTTATAAATTTCAAATATTAATTTTTTACTCAAAATCAAAGGAAAAAGTTGTGAGAAAAGCTTATGCATAAAAGTTTATCTTCAAAGGATTTAAAAATATTCATTCGAAAGAAAACCTCTTTGATTCCTCCACAATTGTTCTCTCTTTCAATCTAAAGGAAATTTTGTGAGTACATTTTATGACATTATGCAATCATTTTGTCCAAATATTATAATGCTCGTGTAATTCTAAGAGAGGGAGTGCTTAGGCGTGGATGGATATTAGATTGGTTCGAAAACATAAATATCATTATGTATTGATTCTTTATTGCTCGACTTACTTTACATTATACTTAACATGATTTGCATACATGTTATGATTAAATGCTTATATGAACATATGTCAAAATTATGAAGTTATAAAAAAATTGATCACTAGGTTGTCATAATCATATCTAGCATCGTATTATTATCATTATCATTATACTTCATGTAATCAATTAGATCTTAAGTTACATGTTACTCATTCATACATAAAATTAAATATACTTGCACTTATGAGATAAAATTATCATAACACTTAGCAACTAGTTTGTTTAACACTCTCTCATAACAATTTGAATATCTTTTATAAATATTATGGCCACTTTGAACCAATTGATCTAATCAACCCTACAAAATAAATAAATATCACTGCAGTATATAAATAAATAAGAATATCTTAACATTGAATCATTGTCATTGTTATCATACTTTGTACGAGATAGAATTATCATTACACGTATCAACTAATTGTTTTAATACTCTCATATATATATATATATATAAGATTCAAAATGCTTGAATTTCTCTGAAATTAATGTTACAACATTCGAGGGCTGCATTTATCTCAACATAAATCCAAGGACTTTGAAGCCCACCTTCATGCAAAATGCTATTCTTTTTTTTTTTTATATATATGTATATGTATGTATAAATCTTCACAACCATGGCAACTAGGACGAACCAAGCATTCAAGAAGTTGCTCATGGTTCGATTTGATTAGAGCTCATTCATGATCATTTGATTAGCTAATCAAATAAGCTTGAACACTTACATAAATATCTTATTGATAAATAAAAAAATCTTGAATGGCTTGTTGCTCGATACATTAAAGATCATGAACAATTTCATTTAAAACCTATGAACAAGTACATTAAAAAAGCTTAATTAATACTCAATGTAATACCTAATATTAAGATTCAATTATTTAATACTAATATTAACAATTGCTAAGTCTTATAGTCAATTTTGAAAAAATTCAACACAATCAAATAAAATTAAAAGGTTTAAGAATATGTATATGAATTCTAATATTTCTGAATTATTGTGTTATTCACAATTAGGCAATTCTAGTATTCCATCTTTCACAATTAAGTAATTGAAAGGCATTCGTATGATTCTTGTATTTAAAACTAAGTAATTCATTCGATTTAGTTGTCATTGTATAAGAATTTCAGTATTGTATTGTAAGAATTCTGGCAGTTATTATTTAATTCCTTCACCAGCCTAACCCGCCAAACTTGTGTAAGAATTCTGGCAGTTATTACTACGATATTTCCCTCAACCGCTTATTTAGTCCCACATTGGTTGGAAGTTTAAGATAACAATGGTGATAGATTCTACTAGTTAACTAATTGCTTTAGTTTGTATCCTTTCCCCGCATAAGGCCGTTGCTTGAATATGCTTCTAAAATAATTTAATAAAATTTTCAATTTTCAAAAGATTTAATAAGATTAATCCCTTGTTTACAAAATGCTATTTTTTTTTTTAAGCTCAACAAACTCAAATCGATGAGACTTGTTTATGACTCCAAACAAGCCAAATGATCAGGCTCATTTATGTCTAACAAGCTTGAATCTAATTGGAATCAAGCTCAAACAGACATTAATAAACAAGTTCGAACTCAAACAACCTCCTGCTCGGCTCTCATTGGCTCATTTATAGCCCTGATGGCAACTACTTGTGAAGTACCTAGTTCGTTTCTGTGATACTAATGACGACTTTAACAAGACAATGAAAATATAAAAAATAACTTTATTTAGTAGAGCACTAAAATGAAATTCTAAAAAACCAGTAGTTGGCTATTTCACATCTCTTGGATAATATTTTCTGTTTTGCATTACTTTTAATGAAGTAATAATAATTTTTTTATAAGCCCATCAAAATAGTTCCAAAGAGCATTGCATATTGTTGAACAATTCAATCATTTCTCGAATTGTAACTCAATTTATTTCATGAAAAAAAAAGAAGTTTACATTCCACCTCATAGGTCAAGTAAAATATTCAAAAATCATATAAAAATGACTAAAATATGCTTCAAATGCATCCTATAATTCTATGGGAGAAAATGCTATACTTCCTAAAAAATTTACTTGCATCATCATTTAATTATATGAACCAAGAAAAATACTCCAAGCAAGCGGATCTTCAATGATTTGTTTATGTAATTTGGATTAATAAAGCAAAACTGTATTGAGACAACAAAATAATTAAAAAGAGGTTATGATAAAAGTATAAATAAAGAGGAAGCTACTTTTGGATATAGATTTAAATAAAATCTGTAGGGAAAAATAAAGGGGCTCCATTGTACTATTACAAAACTCAATTTACACAAACATATCATGCCTAACCGAGAAGCTGGAGTATTTTGTTTCGTGCAAGACAAACCAGCCATTCCTTTCAGTCTATTTGGCTGGCAATTTTTGTTTCGTTTTCTTCATTCTCCAGCTCTTGTTCTACTCCCTTAACCTGGAGTCATGTCAATGGAAAGTGGGGAAAAGAGTCGTTAATGTTCTAGGTAAGAAAGAACTATTTAAGGTGAACGCTGCAATTAAATTTTGATGAAATTCTATCTTCAAGAGAGGAAGATGCAACGTTGCCGAGAAAATAAGACATTCATTACCTAACAGCATCATTTAAGGTTCTAGTTGGGGTAACTACAATCATCTATACTGTATAACTACCACACTCTAACATAATTGATTGTTAAAAAACTACTTCTCACCACATAAATTTTAAAAATTAAACAAGCAAGCTAAAATCAAATAAATTTCTGGCAACTATCTGGAGGCTAAAATTGTGAAAAAGTTATCCTGAACAGGCCCTTAGTTTAAGAAAATAAAAAAATAATTGTCTATTCAATGAGAAGGTGAGCAAATAAAATATAAAATTCAAAGAACAAGGCCAGCATCCAATTCTATGATGTGCTTATCAAATTTTGATTTATTATCATCATTAGTTTTATTGATAGTTGGGGTAACAACAATCAAATGAGTTGGAGAGAAGACTAAGAATATTGATAGTTTAGGATTAGAAGTCATACTAGAAATGATATTGGTGTAATTATATATATGAGTTTGAATGATAATGTTATAAAAATTAGTAGAATTATAGCTTTAAATATTATTGTTAATGTTAAGATTATTAATATTACAAGCGCTTATTCTCCTTAATTAGGTTTGAATATATGTTAAAATTTAAAATTTTACAATGACATAGAAAAATTAATATAAAATATATCTTTTAAAGAAAGAATTTTTAATGGAGGAGATTTAAATTGACATATTAGTAGAGAAATAGATGGTTTTGAAAGCATTTATGGTGACTATGGCTTATGAGCGACTAATGAATGTGGTAAGACTATATTAGATTTTTCTTTAGCTTATGATTTTGTAATTACTAATATTTTATTTAAGAAAAGAGATGAACATCTCATGACTTATAAAAATAGATATAATCAAACTTAAATTGATCATATGAAAAATATATAGTCTAGATTGTAAAAATTGTAAAATTATTCTGAATAAAAGTTTATGTATCCAACATCACTTATTAATTTTGGACTTTAAGAAGAAGGGGCAAAAAATTAAAAATAAAGTAAATCATTATTCTAGGATTAGATGAGTGCATTTAAAGAATATTAACACAATTATTTTCTAGAGTAAGATTCTAGCTCTTAAGATTTTTTCAATGCATGAGGATGCTAATATTATGTTAGAAAAAATAGCTAATGATATTAAGAATATTGTAATAAATATGATTAGAGTATCAAAGGGAAAAGACACTAATAGTAAAAATAGTTTGTGGCGGAATCAAAATGTGCAAGAAAAGATAAAAAATAAAAAAGATTTGTTAGATAAATTGGTTTACCAGTAAAAACTTTGATAATTGGGGAAGATATAAAGAAGCCCGTAAGAAGTTTTAAAAAACAATTTGCAATGCAAAAAATTTATCTTTTAATGATTTATATAATAGATTAGATACTAAGGAGGGCAAAAATATATGTATAAGATAGTTAAACAAAGAGATAGGAATAGTAAAGATTTAGTTCAAGTGAAGTGTATTAAGGATGAAAATAAAAAAATGTTTTTATTAGAATAGCATATTCAACAAAAGTGGATGAGATACTTTGCTAAACTTTTCAATGAAGATTATGAGAATACGATTAACTTTAGTGACCTTAGCACACTAAATGAAAATATATTTTTTTTATCAGCGTATTAGTAAAATCGAAGTTAAAGAGCTTTAAAGAAAATGAAGTGTGGAAAAATTGTTGAATCTAATAATATTCTAATAAATGTGTGGAAATGCTCAAGAGATGAAAGAATTTATTGACTTACTAAACTTTTTAATAGTATTTTAAAGACTAAAAAGATGTCAGATGAGTGGAGAATGAGTGTGTTAATTCTTATTTTTAAGAATAAAGGTGATACACAAAATTGTGCGAATTATAGAGGAATTAAGTTAATGTGCCATACTTTAAAACTATGAGAGAGAGCTATGGAGCATAGGTTGCAGCGTGACATTAACGTTTCTCAAAATTAATTTGGATTCATGCCAGGTAGGTCTACTATGGAAGCTATATATTTATTGAGGGGTTGATGGGTAAGTATAGAGAAAATAAAGATGATCTACATATGATTTTTATTGATTCAAATAATAAAATTCCAAGAGAAGTGCTATAGAGAGTTCTACAGTAGAAATGGGTTAATAATGTTTATATTCAAGTCATTAAGGATATGTATGCATAAGTTGTTACTTGTGTTCAAACACAAGGTGGTTTGACCAAGTATTTTCCAATTTCAATTGGATTACATCAAGGATCAACCTTAAGCCCATATCTTTTTGCTTTAGTCATAGATGTTCTCACTAGACATTTGTAAGTTGTACCCTGATGTATGCATTTTGCTGATGATATTCTTCTTGCTGATAAGACTAGAGAGGGAGTTGAAGGTAAACTTGAATTATGAAGGTCAACCTTAGAGTCTAAAGGCTTTCATTTGAGTAGATCTAAAACTGAATATATGAAGTGTAATTTTAGTAATAATAGACCTAGTAGGTGTTTGTGACTTTGGGCAATCAAGTTATTAATAAGAGCACTCGCTTTAGATATCTTGGGTCTATTGTTTAGAGTGATGGTGAAATAGATGGGGATATTATTAGTATAATTCAAGTTGGATGGTTGAAGTAGAAGAATGCATCGGGCTTATTGTGTGATAGAAAAGTCTCTCTCAGACTTAAGAGAAAATTCTATAAGATGGTAATGAGACCTACAATGCTTAGATGAGGATGCTCAAGTGGATGAATGGCGATACTCTTAAAGATATGATACAAAATGAGCATATAAGTGAAAAGATTGGAGTAGCTTAAACAGAAGATAAGATTAGACAGAGTCACCTTAGATGGTTTGGTCACATAAAACGACAGTCTTCCGATGACCCGGTTAGGAAAGTAGATGTATTAAATTTGACTTATGTTAAGAAAGGTAGAGGTATATCTAAAAAGAATTTATTAGAAAATATTAGAAATGACATTTATTTATTAGATTTAGATGAGAATTTGACTCTTAACAAGATACAATGGAGAAAAATGATTCGTGTGGCCGACCCCACAGCGGAATAAAGGCTTGTTGTTGTTGATGATGTTGTTGTATCATCATTAGTTTTATCACAAATTTCCTTAAATTACTAAATAAATTTTGAAATCAATCATGATGATGAATTTAAATTTAAAGACATTGTTCAAAAATTGGTAAGCAATAAATGAACCATTATCAAGTCTAGAAGAGCATGTTACTGAACATGATTGTCAAGTACTAATTTTCATATCAAATTCAAGTAGAGCTTAAGGTTTCATTTGGGATGACTTTCTTACTATTTTTTATAGCAGCTTTCTAGTATAAAAATTGAAGCTGCTTTAAGAAGCAGTAAGAAAGCCATCCAAACAAAATTTAAGCGTAAGCCGAGTATCAAAATATTCAAGCTGATTTATTAGTTCTCTTATCAAATTCAAATTGTAATTGAGCCTAACCAATTATAGTTTTGATGTTAATGATTTAAATGTATATGGTCATTAGTTAAATGAATTTATGAACTTTAATTAAAATCGACATAATTCACTTAAGTATTGCTTATTTTATTTAATGAAGTTCAAATATTTATTAAGAAAAAGTTTGTTTAATATCAAGCTATTTATTTCATAATTGTATCGTATGTATACATCGAAGAATATACATAATTTTTAAAAAATTTGATATAAGTATATAGAATAAATCATCACATACATAATCAATCCATCATTAAATAAATATTTTACTGAGTTTTTATGAGTAACTTGATGAACAAGTTTACATATTCATGAACTTAAATGAATGAGAGGATAATGTTCAAGTTTGTTTATTTAAATCATGGTTTAAAATTGCGCAATATGAGGCTCGTCTTGAGGCCCGCCTTTGCTCAATTCCAGTAAAAAACGCCTCGATGCTTACACCTCGCCTCACGAATTAAAAACGCCTCAATACCAGAATACGCAATTTTAAACATTGATTTAAATGTTCAAATTTTTATGAGTTTATTCAAATTTGTTCAATTACTTCAATAAACAAGCATTCTACAAATGATATCTACATGTTCATTAAGTGCACTAGTTTATATACAGCCTAGTGCTTGTGAGGTTTGGCCTAAAGAGCTCAGCCTTAATAGCACCATTCATTTTAAAAAAAATAGTTGCTGGGCAGAACCAGGTCCATAATCTAAAGATTAATGTTCGTAGTATTATCATCAAAGCTAATTTACCTCTGGTATATAATGCATAAGCATATTCTCGATGCCAGATTTCAAAGTCACTGAAGAGCTAGGACAGCCACTACAAGCTCCTTGCATCGTTAGCTTTACTATTCCAGTTTCTCTGAAAACAAAAATATGAAAAACAAATCAAACTATCCATCCAAATGAGAGTGGACAAATAATCTGCAATTATGTCTATATCTAACCATCAATGCTAGAATGAATTTATGTTTGAGGATTTTAGAGTTCATTCAGTAAAAGGTAAATTACTCATCAAATCCACGATACTCGATATCACCACCATCATCTTGCACAGCAGGTCGAATTCGGGTCTCTAAAAGTTCTTTGATCATTGCAACAATTTCAGAATCATCCTACAAAAATGAACCAAACAAAAGCAGGATGAAACCTTCACTCTAATCTGCACAACTCAAAACTCTGGCTTGAGAGTTACCCCTTAAATTTAAAAGTTACCTGAGTCTTATTTTCCCTTGGAAATAAAAAAAAGATGCCAATGATCCAGAAAATTCGCATCATCATTATCGAGGAGCGCCAGATAAACTTGAATTTGCAATTTTTTATAGTAACAAGACTGACTGGTTCAATTGGAAACTGATGATAGTTTAGCCTATTTAGACCACTTGACTCTTTCCCAATTTAAACATTTTGAACAAAAGAGAGTACTCAACACAAAAGTGAAATCAACCGCTTGAACAGGTTTTTCCAAGAGTGCTCACATAAAAGTCATCAAAGATGTTTCATTTTTCCTTAGAAATAAATAAAAGAAACCAATGACGTTTCAGAAAATTTGCATTGTTATTATCCAAGAGTCAATTAAACTTAAATTTGCAACTATTATATTAATAAGAATGACTTGGTTGATTGGAAACTGAATGATAGTTTAGCCCATTTAGACCCCTTGACTCTGTTTCCCAAATGAAACATTTTGAAAAAAAAAAAGATAGTACTCAACATAAAAGTAAAATCAACTGCTTGAATAGGTTTTTCCAAGAATCAGATGTCCTAAAATCTAAATCATCCAACAAAACATAAAACTAAAAGAAAAAAGGAAAAGGATGGAGCTTTCCAAATCAGTAAAACTGAAAATTCAAAGTTTTAGTATTCCTAAAGTTAAAAAGATAGGTAAAATTTCAAATTTTATATATCTATACTATTATAAAAGCCACTTGAGTTTTCTCCCATATTAAATCCTGACCTTTTATTTTATTTCTTCAAATATAATCCTGACCCTTGCTTATATTTGTTAATTATTATTATATATCAATAATAATTAGATTTAATTAAAATAAATTATAATTAATATATAATTATTATGATTAACAATTACTATTAATAATTAATTATAATTTATTAAAATTAATTATAATTAACTTTTTAAAATTAATTATTATCGGTTATAATTAAATATGATTAATTATTTTAAAATTGTAATTAATTATCATTAATTCTAATTATTTATAATTAATTAGTTTTTAAAAAAGAGGCTTCCTTGCCTCGATCCACGAGCCCACACCACATTGCCAGTCATCAAGGTATAAATCCCTAAACTTGAGAGAATCCACCCTCGGCACTTGTAGTGCAGCGAACCACCCATGCACGCTTTTCTTAGCACGGTGGCAGAAAGTTCGTCGCGGTGCTTGTGGCGAGACGAGTAATCCCATCCAAAACTCCTATTTTTGACGTTTGCAGCGTGCTGAGATACCCCATATGCACGCTTTTCTTAGTGTGGCGGGAGGGAACTCGGCGCGACGCTTACGATGAAGGCAGGCAATCCCAATGCGATCTTTTCTTAGCACGACGGGGCAAAATATAAGTACCTGTTCGCGGGAAAAAACTACATTTATTTTACATCTGCTTTTAAAGACTCATACATGCCTTTCTTGGCGTGGTGGATGACAAAAAACTACGGCCGCGATGTCTCACAACATCAACCGTGCACGTCTTTCTTGATGTGACGGGTAGGCTGCTTATTGGTTTTTCCTCTAAACGGGGTAGACGTCAGGAGGCTGCCGAAATTCTATCTGAAAATATGAGGGACTTGTGAACATAAACTTGACTTAAACAAATTAATAAGAACTTAAATCAATTGACAAATGACAGTGACTTGAGATTGTAGTTTGGGACAATTACAAAGAACTTGAACTCACACTTGAACTTGAACTGAACAAGGACTCGAGCTCAAGGAAACTAAGTGCAAAGAACTTGAGCATTTGAACTTGAAGATAAAAATTTGGACTTGAATTCGAACTTAACATACAAGTTGATCATTTGGAACTATACTTAGAACTTGAATTAAATGAACAAAACTTGGACTTGATTTGAATCAAGCACATTGGACATGAACTCAGTTTGAATTCAGACTTGAATTTTACAAGAACACAGGGGACTTGGATATGCATTTGAACTTGAATGACTTGGACAACATGGAGCCTGAATTCAATTTGCATCAAACTCAATCAAGAAGAACTTGATTCGAGCTTGGACTTGAAATGAACTTGCACAAAGAACCATTCCTTGAATTTAGATGAGCTTTGTACATGGATGACAAACGATGAAATGATTTGAACTGTCCAACCAAGTTAACTTGCAAATGAGAGCAAGTGATATCTATATTTATCATGCAATCAAATGCTATTAGAAGGGTTTTGCATCTATGTTGCACGGATACTCCTATTTATGAGGCGTATTGTATCAGACACGTGTCGGATATGGATACGCCTCCGATACGGCACGGATACATGTCGGTAAATTTCAACATTTTTTTTATTATGAATTAACAATTGGTTGTTTTGTAATTTCAACATTTTTTCATTATTTCATTTTAATATTATTTGAAGATATTCAACTAAAGAATGGCTTCAAGAGGATCCTCAAAGAGTTTCTCCACAGAAAGATTTAGAAATTTCAAATATGAGGAAGACATGTTTGAAGCATTATTTTTCAAATGAGGAGAGAAGAAGTGTCAACATTGAGCTCGATAAATTTTTTGGTTATTTAGAGGACTTTGGTGACCAAGAGTCATTGCGTGATAGATGGAGAATTGATCCGAAAATGTGGTGGATTATACATGGATCTTCAGCACCTCTACTTCAAACAATCGCCATAAAATTGCTTGGCCAAGTTTCATCTTCATCCTGTTGAGAAAGAAATTGGAGCACATACTAATTCATCCAATCAATGAAGAGAAATAAAATTACTCCACAACGGGCTGAAGATTTAGTTTATGTGCATACAAATCTTCGACTTCTCTCGAGGAAAACTCCAACTTATATGGAGGGAGACAACAGGATGTGGGATGTTGCTGGAGATGGATTTGAATCTCTTGAGGATATGGGAATATTAGAAATTGCTAATCTTTCACGTGATGAGCCTAAATTGGAAGCATGGTTTAAAATTGCGCAATATGAGGCTCGCCTTGAGGCCCGCCTTTGTGCAATTCCAGTAAAAAAAGCATTGATGCTTACGCCTCGAGTTTTTTTTATGAGGCTTGCGCCTCAACTTGGTTTAGGCCTGCCTTGAGGCCCGCCTCGCCTCACTGATATAAGGCTTACGCCTCACGCTATATATATTAAAACGTACATAAATCTTGAAGTAAATGCCTGACATTGGACTCTATAGGAGAGGAGGAAGGGGAGAGAGCAGTTCATCATAATGATAATTCAAATGAAGAACCCCTTAGTAATGACAGTGCTGATGACTTATGAGTTCTTATGTGATATGTCATTGCTATTTATTTTTGGAAATTGGAATTATATGTTAATGAAAAGAATACTGGGATTTGGAAAAGATAGAATTTTGAGTTGAACTATATTTCATGTTGTCTTATTATTGGGATATTTTGATTTCACTTCATATTTTATGTTTTTTTATGTTTTATATTATTCACTCATTAGTATATAAAAAATTTATCATTTTATGTTTACGCAATCTTTTGATTTTGAGGCTTAAGCCTCAAAACGCCTTGAGGCTTACGCCTCGCCTCACGAATGAAAAACGCCTTAATACCCGAATACGCAATTTTAAACATTGATTGGAAGCTATGATGTTTATTGAAGATGATATAGAAATTCAAAGACAAACCACTGAAGAAGCTAATCTTTTCATTCCTTCTATTGAATAGTTGAAACAGTTTCAATGAAACCTCATGTGCTGGAAATTTATATTTTTATTTTTTTTATTGTACTAGACATTTAAATATTTAATGTATACTTTTATTTTGATATTATAAGATACAATGCTATTAATAATGTTATTTTTAAATTTTTTGTCATTTCAAATATCACACTTTAATTATTTTCTTAATTTTTATGTATGATTTATATATTATAATGTTGTATCCGCGCCGTATCCGTATCCTGTATTTTTAAGAATTGACATGATAAATGTGATGATTTGCTAACCATCATACACAACGTAGTAGGTCTACATCCATATTAGGCCTTCAAGGCCTATAATAATATGAATTCACTAATAAAGGCACAAAGCCTATGGAAACCGATCCTCCTAGGCAGGTAAATAGGAGTTGACAAGGTTCAATAAATAATTATCAAATGTCCAAAAACACCCGCATGAACCCCGGCAAGCATGTTATTGGTACACACGTGACGTCTATGGATGCTGCGCGGGTTAATAAGTGAATTTAAGTTCGATCCCAAACCTTCTATGCGGGTAGATAGGAGTCAACACGGCTCGAACCATCAAATAAATATGCGGTCACGCGGTCGACCAGGATATTTTTATATATTCATATTAGGCCTTCAAGGCCTATAATTAAGAGAATTAACTCATAAGGGCATAAAGCCTACGAAACCCGATCCTCTGTCGACAATCGACAGAGTCGATAAGGTTCAAAACATAAATATTTTCAAATGACCCAAAACACCCCGATGATGGTCGCATTGAAACGAAAATCTCAACCGAAGGGGTCCATTCCAAATACTCAAAATTCTACCCAAATAGCCATGAAAATCCCAAATCCCAAAATATTTAAAATTGAAATAATACATCAATCACTTAAAATAAAATCCATCCACCCTCCGCAACAGTTTGCTGGGGTGAACAAATTAAAATTTACTTCAACTTACACAGAGCTAATGTCTGGTCTAAAATATCACTAGGATCCATTCTCAAACAATCTCTTGCCAATAAGGATGTGGTACGTGTCCTTTGACCGACGATTTTGTTGCTAAATGGCACCGCAGGATAAACGGTTATGACCCGGGGCCCTCTGAACCAAGTGATTTTGCCGCCAAATGGCACCACGAAATACCGGTTATGACCAGAGCAAACACGCTCCTTAATGGCATCAAATCCTTGAGATATGAATCAATATGATATAATCGATAGGGCACAA